AATTTCCTCCTTGATCGTACCTTCCAGGTGACTGTCGGGAACACTCGATCGGATCCGTTCCCCGAGGAAACTGGAGTGCCCCAGGGATCCGTCATAGCGGTTACGCTATTCCTGGTGGCAATGAACGGGGTGTTCAGCTGACTGCCCAAGAACGTGCACGTAATCGTCTATGCCGATGACATACTCATCGTCGTAACGGGACGAACGACTAAACGGACCAGGAATATTGCCCAAGCAGCTGTCTCCGCCGTCAGCAGGTGGGCGCTTTCTGTTGGTTTCCAGCTCTCTGCTCCAAAGAGTGTACGGTGCCATATCTGCCACTCGGGCCATCTGATTCGGGAACCACCGATCACCATCCAGGACCATAGAATTCCGCTTAAGAAAACAGTACGTGTTCTGGGGGTAGTTCTGGATCGGACTCTAAGTTTCGACCAGCACTTCAGATCGGTGAAAGAAAACTGTCGTAGCCGCATCAACATCGTCAGGACAATCTCCCGCCCGCACCGCTCCAGTAACCGCGAGATCCGCCTTCGTGTCGCCCGGGCTGTTATCGACAGTCGACTTTTCTACGGCATTGAAATTACCTGCTTAGCCACCGAGAAGCTGAACCGCATCCTCGCTCCGGTATACAATACCTACTTACGCATCGTATCCGGCCTTCTACCTTCCACGCCTGCAGACGCTGCTTGTGCGGAAATCGGAGCCTCCCTTTCCGCTATCGATCTGCTGCAGCTACTGCTACGAAAGCCGCTGCCCTCGCTGCTAAGACATCCGGGAATGATAGGGTCTTTCTCCTCAACGAGGGGAACAGAGCCCTCCGCACTGCAGCCAACCTTGACCTCCCCCCGGTGGCCAGGGTCCACTGGCATGGAGAGAAAAGTTGGCGATCTAACGTTATCAAAATAGATAAGCGAGAGGATTCCAAGCCGGAGATAACTCTGTAGCGTTGAGGCGTTCAGTTGCAGAACTTCTTGGGTTGGTCTATCCGGGGCACGTTCATCGCTTTACGGACGGATCGCGATCACGGGCTGGAGTGGGACTCGGAGTGGCAGGACCAAACTCCGCAACAAGTCAAAGTCTACCGGAGGAGTGTTCCGTTTTTTCCGCAGAAGCCGCTGCTATTCTTGATGCAGCCATCACTCCTGCAGATCAACCGATCCTTGTGCTAACGGACTCACACAGCGTCATCCAGGCGCTGGAAGCCGAAGCCCCGCGCCACCCTGGATACAAGCCATTACACGATATGCCCCACCCTCAACCGTTTTTACGTGGATTCCCGGGCACTGCGGTAGACCCCCCCTCCCCCCTTAGAGCGTGACATAATATATGCATCAACCCTAAGCCAGGGAAGCGACTCAACCTAGACCCATGCATATCGAACCCATGTGTTAGTGGGCCAGGCCCAAAGGCTTTACTTGCCTTCCGAAGAAAGATATGACCGGATATTTTTTAATCTCACAATATCACAACGACCTATGCTGGCAATAAACCCAGACCAACTGGGGTGAGAAAGCAGTCACACCTACCTCTTAACCACGGAAGCCGTCAAAACCTGGCATTTGATTTTTTTATCAATTTGGAAAAGGGCGTAATTTCCAAAGATTACCAAGGGGCTGTAAGCCCTCATTACGTCTCTGCTTCAATGGCATACAAAAGGATAAAGACGTACTGTTATATGTAGATCATAGACATATACAGACGCTGTACACTAGACTGACGTAAAATTTGAAATTTTCCCTCCACTGTGCTCAAACGGTTCCAAATTGAATCTTGATTAGCCTCCCAAAATTTGAACTTATTTAGTAAGAAACTAACTGGGCACAAACCATTTGAAGTTTATATAGAAATTACTATGGGAAAACCGAAGTTTTGGTTCATATCTATCTCAAATTCACCAGTTCACTCTGCTTAAGAAAACGATGGCTACGCTTGATGAAAATTTTCTCAGCTACAACTTTGTTCAAGACCACTTTTCGATTAAATGTAAGGAATATAAGTTATTATTGATTCCAGTCACTGATGTCTTATGATTATGCTCAGTCAACTGTTCAGTAGGCAACATTGGTGTTTCTGGGGCGTTGAATAGGTCACAAAAATCATGGCTACTATGTCACACTGCAGAATACAGTGTTGCCCATAATGCAGCTGCTTGATCATGCCATAAGGTTATCAATATTTTAATCAATTAATAAATATCTAGTTTCACGCTTGGCTTAAAAACGATTTTCTGCAAAGTTGTAGCTGAGAAAATTTCCCATAAGAATAGCAATAGAACTTGTTAACAGTGCAATATGGAAAAAGGCTAGAAGACAGTGAACAAAAAGCTTGGGTTTCCCATAGTAATATCAATATAAACTTCAATTGGTTTGTGCCAATTCAGTTTCTTACCAAATGAGTTTAAATTTTGGGAGGCTAATAAGGACCCGATTTAGAACCGTTTGAGTACTGTGGAGTGGAGCGAACATTTCAAATTTTGCATCAGTCTACTGTACACTGGGAGAAATTTTGGGCGATATTTTGGGAATTGGGGAAATTAGTTAGGAATTTAGTTCTTTCTGATTGGAAAATATCTATTGAATTGAATGGGCATGGTTTCATTCTACGCAAGGCTTTGATCACTGTTCAAGTCGATGTGTTTCTTCTTTTCACGTACTTCAAATCATGGATTGGATTGCACAATTAGGTGATTCATACTACTTCTAACAGCACTCACCACCAGTGGGGGAGCCACCTTCGATCGTATGGGCTGGTGGAAAATTGAGTTCAAACTGTATCAAATATCACTTGTAATTGATACTGCTAAAGCAATAGATGTCGCTAGTGAATAGGAACGGTGATTTATTTTTGTATGCAGAAGATCAGAAAATGTTGATTTTAACAAAATTAGGTCCTTTTATGAAAAAAAAAATCTATTTGGTACTGGGAAATTTTTTTTTACGAAACATTTTTATTAAAATTTGCTTAACGACGTGTTCCGAGTTTTATGCAAACCATTTGTGGAATGGTTCAATCATTTGGGTTATCATTCGGAACTTGAAAAGATCGAACCGAACGATCGATTTTTACAATTTTTAATAAATAAAGAATCGTTTCGAAAAATCGAAAATTATGTTGAAAAAGATCCATTCAAGATCACCCATTCCTTAATTAATCTGGCAATAACGGAGTTGCAATCATTAGCAGTAAATCATGCTCATACTTAGAAGGTTGCTTATAAAAAAAATTCAACGGAAAAGCTGCTCGTTTACTCCATCTCAATACTCAATTATCAATCATTGTAAATTTTAGTGTTCCGTTTACAGTTGAATAGAAATGGTTTGTAATATTTTACCTAGTTCTGGTTTATTTTTTTTTCTCAATCTAGCCGAAAGGAAATTTCCCGCATCCGCACTAATAATATCGTTTCCGATTTGTAGATTCATCTGCAAACAACAAAGAAAACCTTTTCCATGAACAAACGCCTGCTTCATCGGCCCAGTATGTCTTTCCGTAGCAGCTAGCCTTAAACCATGTAAATTCACACGTGACGACCGTTTAACGGATACTTTAACGGAATAGCCATTTCCCAGCCTCAGCAACATCGTTAAAAGTATGGGAGAACTGTACAAAACGCACAAGTGGGGTCAAACGGACAAACTTCACATTAATTTGCTTTTTTCAAAGCTATTTTTTTGATTTATCAAGCAGCAATAGAACTTCAGCGTGTGAGCTGGATATCTTAGGAATTGTCCTGCATGATAAATCCTAGAATTGGTGAAACAATGTCGAGAACAATTTCTCAAAACAATACGAAAAAAGTGCATTCTGCCCCTCTGTACCATTCTCCCCTATTTGGATCAGCAACGGCGTCTAAAATGCACCCCGGGGGTAAAATGGCCCAGCACTGATTTTCACTGCTTTCCGATTGTGAATTCGTGAATTTAACGAGCAACATTGCTAGTTCAGTACAACTAGCATTCTGGCAAATAACATCCCAGAATTAGTAAGGGAAAAGCAACGATAAACAACGTGGGGACATTTTACCCGAGGGGTGCATGTTTACAGGCCTATGTTGTCTCTTGATACTATTTATTTTTATTTTTCGTTTGCTGGAGGAAGGTCAACGAAGTTTTCTTTTTTCTCAGAGGGTTGTCTTCGAAGGATATGAGGATTTATCGGTTGGCTCTTGGCTCATTTGAACGTTTCTTGAGCTCGTGATGAGATCAGCAATTGCGTTTCGGTTTTGTTTTGCTTACTTACGAAACGCGCCCGGTGACATTTTAGGGGAATATCAATATTAGGATAGTGTTACCCTCTTTTGAATTTGTATATGAATATAAAAACGCATGTTCAATTGATATAACGATGGTAACGTAGTTAGGGGACATATCTACAGGATCATAAATAGTGAGTTTTAGACCATCGAATATGTACAAAATGAGCAACATCTTATTTGATATCGAGATTTGTGTTGAGTTGATGAATACTACTTACGAATACGAATTTCTAACAGGGAGAAAGTGATACCATGAAGGATCGATTGCTTACATATCCTCTATATTGGATTACATCTGGTCGGAAGTGGGGAAGCAATCCGATAACGTTTAGATATAAGTGGAACAGTTTTCTTCTAGTCTTAATAAGGCTTTTAGCACGTTATGTGTATGTTGCTAGTTGTTTAGATGTGCTTAAGGGTGTGCCTAAATGATATCCGTTTTTAGTCTTTTAAGCCTTCGATTTTCATGATATTATTTAGGGACAACTCTAGTGTTGCAGTCGTTCGTTGTTAGTGGAAAGCGTGTGAGCTACGATACTAACTGATGTGATGTTTTCGCTACTGTGAGGTGTAGATATGTGTTATCCGTATCTATACAGCTGTATCAATAAGCGGTGGATCGGTTTGTGGGGCGAGTCGTGATGAATGTGGGTATAGTTTGTTCGTTTTCAAGTGTATCAAATAGTCTTGGCATACAAAAATCCTACGCTACAAGTGTGATGAGAGTATAAAATCGGTACATTACAAAAATTCCTCCTCGTGTGGTGGCGATGGCCCGGATACCGACAATGTCGGTAAATTCGCTAGCTTTGGCGTTGGTCTGCTGTTGGCGTTGTCACTACTGCTGCTACTGGCTTTCGGATTGCTGCTAGTGCTCACGTACGACGTGGGATTAGGTTCTCTGTGGCATTCCACCAGTTCGATCGAGTCCTGGTGGGGATCATTGCAACTATTACTATTGAAGTTGCTATAACCATTCATCGGGTTATTATGCTGTTTGCTCTCTTCGGATTCCCACTCGGGATATGCGGAGAACCGACGCTGAAATTTAAATGGTATTTGGTTAGTAGAGAAAGGTCGATGCTAAACTATATGTACATACGTATTACGGGAAATGGATGTAATATCGGCCTAAATAAATGCCCCTAATTTGGGCCCATACATAAATTCAGCAATCTACTAAATTTTCAATAGCGACCAAAAATATCCATTAGTACCGTCCCAATGACGCGTTCATCTAGACAAAATTTGATAAATTGCAGATTTTTGGCGAAGAGCCCAATCTTAGATCCATAGGCCAACATTAGAGCCATTTCCCCTATATAATATTTTTGTGCTATTCGTTCGTGTTATGTATTAAATATCTGATGAATATGTGTATGCTTTAGAATATTGAAATGGGCTTTAGAATATTGAAATTGGGTTGAAAACTAACGTAGATCTCTATTTAATATATTAATCATATATATATATGATGTACATAATAGGAGTACCACATATCACACACGTTTAAAAAATAGAAAGTGTAAAATGCCCTCAACTTAGACTTCAGTGAGCAGTTCTACAGTTGTTAATTGGGAGCTTTCTATGCCATTTTTGTATATTGTATAGTTCTATGACCAGGGAAGTCGAGAAAATTCATCACAAAACATTCCTTGACCAGCCATGCAATCAAACCCAGCACCTTTGGCATGTTATCGCCCCACTCGTAATTATTAGAACCTTGATATTAATTTCGGAGGTTTTGAACAAAGTTGATGGACATAGTTAACTTTGTATCCATACGTGTCCCTTTCTCCCCTAATGAAAGCTCATGAAATAAAGTTTAAATATGCTATAACTTTGCAAGGAATCAGAGCGATATACGGTCTCCTCCTAGTTCTTACTATTATTTAAACCATTGCAGGGCTGATAGCGGGTCACTTTTTAGTGACTTTGTCACTTTTTTTAAGGTGGTCACTTCAAAGTCTCTATTTTCGTCAAAAAGTCACTAAAGTCACTTTTTTTTTAAAGCGAAGGAGGCGCTCAATAAAGAACGCAAAATATTTTTCTTGAAAAAAAAATGTTTTTTCAACCATAAAATCATTTTCAGTGCACCTATGTATAGTACTCAGCTCTGTTTAGGAATATCGGTCAATTCTTTTTCGCTTTGACAAATTAAATGTTGACTGAAGTTCACTTCTATTCGGGTCTACGAAATATGGCGCACAGGTTGATAGATCCTTAAGTGGACCCTACACGATTACTTTTATTGACAATAATCGTATTGTCAATACATTCTATATTGACGTCAATATATCGAGATTGACAATATTTCTGAATTCACATCATCAATATTATTGTCAATAATTCCCCTTCGCGTCAATATATTGATGCGTGTGGGGTTTGCTTTATGGGGATTTTCTGTGGAGTGAATTAATACGAATGATTCACATTCACACAAGGAGAAGAGTTCTAGCATATGAAGATTCTCTTAGTTTTTTTTTTTTTTTTTTAAATCTTTATTTTAGAGACATTCTCTTAGATGAAGATGAGTGAGATTAATGTTATTCTTACTCTTTCTGGCGAAAAATTCGCCCAGACATACCGCCGAACAATGAGGTGTCCGCTTTCTTTTATTCGCAAGTTGGCAGATCTCAGGATGGCATTTTCTATGCTGTAATTTGTGAGTCCAAGTGCTAAAATTTGTGATTTGTGATTGAATAAATGATGTTGTAATTATTGTATGCCATTAGTGAGTCGAGGTAAGTTAATAAAATAAAATTCCGTAGTGAAAACAACGACAAGAGAAATTTCATAAAACATAACCCCACCTAGTGCGTTTTTTTATTGTGCATTTCTCACCCAACTAAACTACTTTTTCGGTAGCTTTCCAAATGGCGGAAATGGTCGTAAAACTGCGCTTTTGCATTGCATCGGCTTGAGGTGTTCGGCGCACTTTTTCCTTGCCTCGTAAGGAATACGCTAAAGTGACAAGACGTCCCGGATTCGCCTTCCTGTCCCGCATTACCAAATGTCCTGCAAAACGTCCCACATTATCAAGTGTCCCGGAAATTGCCTAGCGTTCGAAATGTTGCTTTTGGTTTTTCGTTAGTGTATTTTTGGTTGTTTTCGATTCCATCATTTCTACGGGCTTCTTCAACGTAGTCCTAAATCCTGGTTTCGGTTTATTTAGAACTATAAAAAAACCACAACACCGGTGTTGTAAATTTTGGTTTATGCTAGATATAGGGTTTTTGATCTAATTTCCGTCCTACTAAGGACATCGTGCACTTTACCACGCTTTTTGGAAAGGGTTTGAACAAAACATGGAATGTTTTCTTCAAAGATAACTTCTAAATTTATCCACCTTTCCATACGTACCGTTGGATTAGATAAAGAGTCAAACAATGTTGAGATATTATTAAAAATCTAACACTGCTTCTTGCTTCTAAATTCGTCCTAAAGGGTGATACGGTCAAAATTTGGTCAAGGGAAAACGCGTGTAAATCGGTGAAATCGTTTTTTTTAAAATCAAATTAAATTTCTTTTTCAAGTTCAATTAGTATAAAATTCAGGAAAAATATTCAGTTAGGCGCTTCCGCTTTTCCAAATCCGAATTGCCGGGCCTTACGCTTGACCCCTGCCATCAGATTTTGTACAGCCACCTTGTCCATCTTCTTCGCCGCAGAAAGCCAGTTTGCCTTGAACTGCTGCTCGCCCTTAGCAGTTTTTTTGGTCTTCTTTAGGTTCCGCTTGACAATAGCCCAGTATTTCTCAATTGGGCGGAGCTCTGGCGTGTTGGGAGGGTTCTTGTCCTTGGGAACCACCTGCACGTTGTTGGCGGCGTACCACTCCATGGCCTTTTTACCGTAATGGCAAGATGCCAAATCCGGCCAAAACAGTACGGAACAACAGTGTTTCTTCAGGAGTGGCAGCAGACGTTTATTCAAACACTCTTTCACGTAAATTTCTTGGTTGACAGTCCCGGAAGCTATGAAAATGCTGCTTTTCAAGCCACAGGTACAGATGGCTTGCCAAACCAGATATTTCTTTGCGAACTTTGACAGTTTCATGTGCTTGAAAACATCTGCTACCTTTCCCCTTCCTTTTGCCGTATAAAACTCCTGTCCCGGAAGCTGCTTGTAGTCGGCTTTGACGTAGGTTTCGTCGTCCATTACCACGCAGTCAAACTTCGTCAGCATCGTCGTGTACAGCCTCCGGGATCGCGCTTTGGCCGTCGTATTTTGTTTATCATCGCGATTTGGAGTCACTACCTTCTTGTAAGTCGATAGTCCGGCTCGTTTTTTGGCTCGATGCACGGTTGTAGACGATACACCCAACTTATTTGCGGCATCTCGGAGAGAGAGGTTAGGGTTTCGCTTGAAACTACCGGCAACTCTCTTTGTCGTCTCAGCGGCTTCCGGTTTTCGATTTCCCCCCGATCCAGACTTCCTGGCTGTCGACAAACGTTCCCCAAACACTTTAATTACATTTGTAACGGTTGATTTGGCAACTTTTAGCGATTTTGCCAACTTTGCGTGCGAGTAGCTCGGATTTTCGCGATGCGCGAGCAAAATTTTGATACGCTGCTCTTCTTGCTTGGACGGCATTTTGACAACTGAAGAGTGAATTCCAAAATCAAAATAGGAGCAACATTCTACACACACACACCTTCAAAATGAGGGGTGTTCAGGTTTTTTAAATGCAAAATTGAAAGAAATACGTCAAGTTGATATTGACCAAATTTTGACCGTATCACCCTTTACGCGTTTCAATTCCGTCCAAACGCATTGAAACGCCATTAGATTTCCTTCGTCCTACGGATAAACGGAGAAAAAGGGGATTCGCTAGGAGCGCTTCTTTTGTTTTGAGAACAATGAGCGTAAATATGCATACAATGCGCTCTAATAGGATTTATGTTGTAGCTAATGAACTAACGCATGGGAACAAACGTATTATTGTGTTGTGCATTGTGAAATCATTGATATTATTGATGATTTCTGCTCGATAGAACGGAAATGGGCGATTACGACGAAGTAGCGCTCTTCCCTATTGTGCATTATTTTGAACCTGGTATATGCTGGAAAATCCTTCAAAGTACTTGAAGGTACTATGACGTTTTGAGAACTTCTCTAAAATGCTGGGATATTCTTGTGAGATTTTTCGTATTCTCTACCATTCTGGGAGCTTCTTTTGATTTTTAGCAGCTTTGGAGAAGCTTGGTGATCTTATATTAAGTATTTGGACTAATTGAACTAGAACTTCAATCCGAAAAACAAAATTGATGTGCAAGGAAACTATCTGAAGTTCTGGGAAATAATTTTAAGTTCTATGAACTTTTCCTGAATTCTCACATTTTCTAAAGGAGCATTCTTCTAGCGTAGCATTTTTTAATAATTCAAGACCCCCTACCCCTTCGTCCTTAAAATCAATAAACTTCTCTGAAGCTCAAAGAGCTTTTTGAACTTCTGACATATTCTGCCAAGTTCCTCAAACTTCCTTGATGTTCTGCGATATTGAATGAAAAACTATAACCCTCTCTTTAGTTAGTTTGGTCTTGAAATATTTTGTTCTTTGGAATTCTTTGAGATTCAGGGAACTTTTTTATATGCTTTGAACATTATTGAAATTATAAAAAAATTCCAAAGGATTAAAAAAAAGTTTAGACTTCTTCGAAATGCTGGCAGATTCTAAAAGTTGTTTAATTTTTTTAGAAGCTGGGAGAAATTCTCTCAATATATAAAGTTGTCTGAAATTCTTAAACTTTCTCTGATGTTCTAGGATCTTCTGTAAAATTCATTAGTTTTTAGGACTTCTCTGAAATTTGAGGAAAATCTTTAAAATTTTCAAAATTTACCTGAAGTTCTTTAAAACTTTCTGAAAACTTATGATCTTCTCTTAAGGCTTTGAGTTAAGATAACATGCTGGAGGATTCTCAATAAACCCTTCAAATTGCTCTTAACTTTTGAGATTTTTTTTTAAACTATATATCGTTGAAATAAACTGACGCAAGGTTCTTAAATAATTTTAAAGTTCTCCCAATGATCTTCTCTGAACTT